TTGGAAGTGAGTTGGTCACGGGTTCGGTAGGAGCCGTCCTTCTTCATCGACGTGAAGAACTTCTCCTCGATACGATCCCACATCGCATCCTTCGTTTGCTCCGTACCTTTAAAAAAGTATATAATTATTTTTTTTGACACCATTAAATATAATATATATAAATAAAAATATAAATATATTAGAAAAAACAAATTTTTTACCAATGATAGGATGCTCGGAGACGTCAACCCAAGCCGACGCCAATATGCACTCCTCCTCCGGCGTCCACTTTTGGATTGCCCATGCCGCATCGGTCACCGTGGTTTTGGCTTTGTGGCTCCTCCGGCGTGTACTTTTTTTCGAACCGAACGGTTCCGGTTGAGTCTCCGGAACCGAATCTCGGTCGACGTACCCGGATTGTTGCGTCTCGAATATCGCCGGTCGATCGCCCCACTCTTGGTAGAACCACATCGCGGCGTCACTCGGGGGGAGATTGTCGGGATTGAAGCCGGAACCGGAAGGATTCATGATGAATAAAAATTGAGTAATTTCGAATTTTGAAATTAGAAGAAGAAGAAATTGAGAAGATGAAGTGTGAGAGATTGAGAGGGGGAGGGTTTGAATTTATATGAAAAAATAATAATTTTTTTTTTAAAATTTGTAACGGCTTTCTAGCCGTTGGGGAGGGGGAGGGAATGAATGACGCCGCGTCATTCCTTTGACGCAGCGCCCGCGACGCCCCATCACGCCCGGAGGGGGCGGTGTTTAACGCCGCCGGGGCGTTAAACGCCCCATCACGCCGGGGGGCGTTGCGGGTATACCCAGTGCTCTTACACAAATATTGGTACTTTGAATTTATGAAAAAATTAGTGGATATTTTGATGCCGATATTTGAAATTTTTATGGAAAAAAAAAATCAAATTGAAAGTTTTTTTAAAATTAATGGGATTATCGATATTGCAAAGATGTTTTTATGCTTTCCTATATTTCCTAAAAAAAAATCAAAATTTTAAAAATTAACTCCGTTAGTTTAATATTAACAGCGAGTGCATTTTGTTCCCCAACTCTAAAAGGTGGAACTATTCATTGCAAATGTTAAAGGTGAGATTGTAATTAGCCACCCGTTAAAAGGTTGGATTAATCTGTGCAAACTTTTCATTGTTTAATTACTATGTTCGAATTGTTTTAAATAAACACTAAATTTTAATAAACATTATTTCAATGAAAATAACATTTTCCTCATAATGCAAATTATTTTAATTATTAAAATGATATGAATATAGTAATTGAATAATAAAAGTTTGCACAGAATAATCCGACCTTTTAACAGACTACTAGTAATAATCCTATTTTAATTTTTGCGAGGAATAATTTCACCTTTAGAGTCGTGGCACGTAATGCACCATGTTAGTTTTAAACTAACATGGTAAACTTGAATGTATGTTGTACAACTACTATGAAAGATGGGATTATTCTGCGCAATTTTTTTTATATTTCCTAACAATTTTTAAATTTACTAAGACTGAAGAGAAATTTTATTACCCCCCAAATCGATATCAAAGATTTCAAAATACAGATATTTTGATGGGAAATTCAAAACTATCGGGATATTTTCATCATTGATGATATCAGTGCTGGAAAACAAGGCAGCAAGATGTCCAATGTAAGATATCCTTATGTCAGTGCATTGAGGGGGGGATAGGTATACCAAGCTGAATCTTCTGGAATTTAAAGGCAATCACTTATCTTCTGACTAAATTGTTTAAACCACGAGGTGCAAGATAGGGATTCAGAAAAAAACAACAGTTCATACAACATCATATATATATATATATAAAGTAGGGTTTTTTGGATGTGGTGTTGACACGTGGACCATGACGAGGCAGCTGACATAGATGGTTTTTCTTGACACGTGTCTGGTGACATGAGCGCACATCTGGACGGTTAAATACAAAGAGTAAAAGAGTTTTCGGACCTTTCTTCTCCCAAATAATTGCAATACCCGTTTCATCTTCATCCTCAGTTAATTTGCCATCCTATTGCAGTCTTCTGTTCTTTGTCGCCAACGAGTCTCTAAAACGAGGAAAAGCCTTTGTTCTTCTGTCGTCCGTCCAGTCGCCTGTAGCCGATGACCACTTTCAGCCGCCCGTGACGCAGCATCCATGACATCGCTGTTGTTCACTGCTCATCCTACATTCAAATCCATCTCAACCTTCAGGTACTATATTTCTCTTTGAAAACTTTCAACATATCACTGGTTTTTGCCACCTATTTTTTGCCCAATTGTCTGAATTCCAAGATGCAAGAATCAAGATTGCACCCTATTTTTGTCTAATGTCTGAATTATGCACGCCTTATTTTTTCTATTTGAAAATGAATTGATGCGGGAGAGTTGATTTTTCCAATTGTGCAAGTGTCATATATTTGAAATTCAATTTCTAATTCGTGGTTGGTAGAGTCAGTTTGGAGTGGATTCCGATGACCTTCCTCCAGTCACTTGGTGGTACGATACAACAAGCTTTACTCTATGGATTAAAAAGGAATAACTTCTCTATTACCAAATATTTTTTAATCTAATTTTCCTGTTGACTATTACCATTTATGGAATACTATGGCCTCTTGGCATGAGGCAAAGTCCCTCTGTTAGTGTGAATGTAGTTGTGTTTTTCTTATATATTGGTGATTTCGTGTCTTGCTTAATATCAATGACATAACTCTTTTCTTTTCTTCATGCAAATTCTCGAGTTCTTCTGATATAATAGCAACTTATAATAATGGTTTTCAGGCTAAAGTTGTATATAAGGTGTCATCACATGCTCATGAAGAAGGAATTCAGTCATGGCAGATGGGTGAATGAGCTCTGGTGACTTTGTAAAAGCCATATCCTTATGGGCATCTACAAAGCTATCATGGCAGATTGATGACTAAGGTACGTTAACAGCCTATTGTTCCCATAGTTCTTCTGTTGGTTGCATAACAAATTTGTAAATTTCCATCACTCACTCTACTTTATTTGTTTTCATAGTGCATTCACCCTAGATAGGATTCATGTCAGTAAATCCAATATAGTACATGTCTGGTGGTAAAATGGTACTCCATTCACAGCATAAAAGAGAGTATTTTAATTGTGAGGCTTATTATAAAAGTTCCAAGATCACATTACGAAGACTCCTTTGAGGTAAGGGTTTGGTCTTCTGCTTGAGCATATCGATTCTCAACACATGATGCTTAATTACTAATTGTTGTCTTAATTGTAGTCTCATGAGTTATTGAACTTGCTTATAGCTAAACGAGGATCTTTGATGTGGATAGGGAAAATAAAACTAGGAAACCCAAGAAAACACTGTTTGGCTAAAGTGATGGTTTAATGGGTCGTATTGCACTAACTAAATCAACCTTGGTTTACTGGAGGGATTTTATAACATGGTTGCTCAAGAAGACAACGGGGAAGTCAGTTTCCTAGACTATAAGAGGACCCAATAAGTTGTCCAGCGCCACAATGGTTCGAAAAAGTGCAATATTCGGGAGATCTATTAAGCGGTAATACTAATCCAAGTCATTTTTTTCTTTTTTTTTACTGCCCAATTTTTCATCATTCGCTCTAAGTTAAAAAAGCAACTTAAGAATAATATGCAAGACTGCAAACTAAAGATAAAGGAGGAAGTGTGTGTTTTTTTGGGGCTGTAATAGTTGTGCCATGCGAATATATAAAATAGAGTATTTTAATTACGGGAATGCCATGTGGCAGTCCACATGTATCTTTGTTGGCAGTTTCCCTATGAGTAATCTATTAGTGACATGGCTTTGTGATAGGGTGTATCTAAAAGAGCTTGGTGCTTGGATATGTTTATTTCCCCAAAATGTTTTCCCTTCCCTTTTTTTCATCTTAGTTGTCTGTTTTTTGAGCAGTCATGCGTTGCAAGCCTCTAAACACAATGCCCTGGTGTTTGGATTCTATGGATGGTGTTGTCGTTGGGCATTTTGGTAATAATCTATTATTTTATTTTTTAAAATGTTGTCTGATCAGTTGTCCTTGCATTTAGTTTGTTCGTGTTGGCGGGACATACTCTTTTGTGTAACAGTTTTGAGGTGTGCTCATTTACAACAATGCATAGTTAATTAGGTTTTGTTTTACATTTCCGGAGATAGATAGGTTCCGTAGTTTACTTTTATCATGTCATGTATTTGTGATATATAAATACCAATTATCATGTGGACCGAAAGGCTCATATTCATACATTGATTTTTCATTTGACGTTGTTTAACATGACCATTACCATATTTTGATGTAAATTTTTTAAGACACACCTAAAAATTCTTTCTTATTGCTAAGAAAAAATTCATTGATATTTGTTTTACTCTGTAATATATTACTCCGTACTTAAAATACAATGGTAGTAGTTTGTAGATACATCATAGGAATGCTCATCGAAATAAAGAGGACTAGAGGTTCATTTATCAAATTTGTAGTGGATAGAATAAATGTCAAAATTCATAGAAGCAAATTATTTACCACATACGTAATGGATGTCAAATCTTATGCGATGAATGCTTTTTTAATGTTCTTTTCAAGAGAACACGGAACTATATGTTGAAATTGTAAAGCTCACAAACATCCTACCCTAATTGGGTTTTATAAAATTGAAATTTCATGATAGATTAATTTTTGTGATGAAAATATAAGTATCGAAGCATGCAGACAGAATGATATATCCAAAATAAGTCAAATATACACTTACACACTTAATTAAAAATATAGATTACTTTTAACAAGTAATTTTAATTTTATTATTAAAGTATGAAAGACTCGAACATACACTTTTATTCAATTTAATGAACTTGAGAGTTCATATATTAAACCTGTTGTAATCATAACGAACTTTGTAATCATAAGTAATATTTGTTGATGGTCTAATAATTTTTATCATGTTGTTGTTTATGCTTGAATGTAGTCAAAGTTTTTTTTGCTCAGTAGCAGGTATGTTATTACTATTGTTTAACGTGTTTTGGATTGAAGATTAATTAATTTCTTTTTCATTTAAAATGAAGTTTCAACTAATTTGGGACAACTCTTTTGCTACATATATTTTGGGGCAGCAGACTTAATTGCTATTGCTACTTTTGGTCTACTTTTGTTAATATGACACTGTTGTTACCCTCAAAGATGGTTTGATATGCAAAAAATTGCTGTCAGGTACCCCCTATTTTGCAATAAAGACTGGCAGGTCCCATGTTTTTTTAAAATATACTCTTGGGGGCTTAAAATATATCATTAATGACTAAGGGGGTGAGTTCCGTCCATTGCACCGTTTGAGGTATTGATTTGTCAATTATATCCTTGGTTATTACCCAGAAAAGCAAAAAAGAAGGGTGTACTGTCTCCTTCTTCGATCGAAAGCAACTTCCTCTTATAGCGCTGTGATGATTGCCTTCCTTTAAAAGCTTCTCCATGGTAAGTAAATAGCTTCCTTATTGATTAGCATACACATTTCTTCATCTGCGAATCCCATTTTTCCTTCATAATGTTTGATTAAACTGAACATGGTTTAGGGTTTATCAAGTATCTTGGATTTATCATATCTCTTTTCGAATTAACTGAATATGAATATAGGGTTCATCAAATTCTTGTTCAATTTTACTGAACAACATGAATATATGGATTTTTATTTTTCTATTTAATTTTGGTGAACAGGAATATAGCATTTTCATTGTTAAAATTTATTTCGTTTTGTCAAATTTGTGTTGTTCTATCAAAATTGGAGCCAAGAGTTCCTAATTTTATTATTTTTCTTGTGATGAATGGCTATACAATTGTATATACTTCACATTTTTTTGTGTGTACTTTAGGCTCCATCAGGATTTAGAGTGTGTGTGAAAGATCAATGCATTGTGATAGAAGATATTGATTTGGATATTTACTTCACCAAAGATCTGTATGAAGATGTTATTTTAAAAGCTAAAGAACAGAATGTTAGTCTTCCCAGGTTTCTTGGTTTTACATACCATCCTCCCAATAAAGAAATTCAGAAACTGCCATTAGCTACTAATTTAGATTGGATAAAGATGATTGAGGTTTGGGGTGTAGTTTCTTCAACTTACATTCCCTTATATGTGATTGAGCTGCAAGAGCCTAGTTCATTACAAAAAATGGCTGAGAAACTTGATTCCAGTACCCAAAATTTTAATGAGGGCAGTAACAGTGAAGTTGAGTTTTGGGTTGACAATTTGCTTGTAACACCAACAAGCTGTAGTGACATTCTTGAAACTGAACTAAATACTGGTTACAAGTCTAAGTTAAATGTGAGGAGGCAAATCAATAGGAGGACTGAAGTGCAGCTCCAACCATCTCTCTTACACCCTGAAGATGTATCCATTACTGATTCCTCTCCAGAGGTCTCACCGATGATTACTGCACGACCTGATAAAAGCCCTCGAGAGGAGTTTGTCAATGATGAGATACTTAAAAACAAGAAAACAAAGCATGTGGGGGGAGAAAGAAAACTATTTGAGAGGACTGAATTTAATATGAAACTCTTGACAAAGGAATTGAAAGGCCTAGAAGCTTATGACATTCCAGCCCTGAGTAAACCCCAAATTCCTCCAGAAGTTCCTCCCTTAGATGTATTCTTTGAAGAGCCTGTTCTGCCATCTCAAAGTGAAGGTCTAAATCGGGAGAGGGTTACTGATGATGAAAAAGGATCCTGTGAAGATGATGAAGAAGATTGTGATTTTGAAGGGAGTGAGGAAGAGTGTTTGAGTAGTGAGGAAGTTTCCATGGATGAAGAGTCAGAAATGGAGGATGACGTTGATCTTGACGCTGACACTACCTATAGAATGATGCTGGGTAATGAAGAGGAAAATGAAGATGGGAGTGGTAGTCAGTCTATAGTGGATAAAATGGCTAAGGTGTTTAAGACTCGAAGACTATGGATCAGAAATAGCCATGGACCCGTGCACCTCTTGATATGTGAAAGCCATCAACCACGCAATCTTCCATTGCCTCGTAAGGGACGAGCAAGGGCCCCGGGGGATGAACAGGAGGTCATTGTAAGGTCAAATGTCCATTAGGTTTATGCCTCCAGTTCCTGCCATAAGGCCATTGGATCACTTTATGCATTCGGAACTTTGTAAAGTCATTGGATCACTGTATATTGGCTTTCAAGGTTTAATTGAACATCCCTTCTTATTAAAAAGACATTTTTTTTCACATTGAACATGCCTTCCAAAGTTCATCACAACAAATACATAAATTGTGCGTACATAAACATTACAAACACCACTTCACTACAAGTACATAATTTAGATCACATAAACAATACAAACACTGCAATGTTAAGCACAATTGCTACACCAAAGCCGAACAGAAAAGCTCCAATCCTCTTGTCTTTGATACGCTTCTTTAGGAACTTTATTTCTTCGTCTTTGGCATTGCTCTTCTTTAGAAGTCCGGGAATGATCTTCTTAGCTCGATCACATATTGGAGGGTCAAGCCATTCCCAATAATGACATTTCTGAGTACCCTATTTAATACCAACCAACATTATCAATAAAGAACCAATGTTTTTCTACAAGGAAAACAAAATTATATTACTTACATTTCCATCACACTTCCACATTCTTCTTCCAGGATTTTTATTAGTCCACGAAGTAAGAATACTCATCTCTTTCCCACACCTACAAGCAGGCACCTCTAACCATTCACCATAATCACAAACTCTTCTTGATAAGGCGAAAGAGTGGCTACTACAAATATCAAACCACGAAGGCTATAGTTATATGTGAATTATTTACCATCATTCATATTAATAATATTGGGGTTTATACCTGTTTAGATCCATTACTCGTCAAAGAGAAGATTGAGTTCCAATCTAGAATAAAATGTCGTGCAAAATGAATAAATCCCAAACTCATAATAATCAACTAACAAAGGGAAATTAACGAGTGTTTTTGAATACCTGGAAAAACTCAGTGCCTCGTCTCTCTCCTTCGTCTTTCTGGTCTCGTCTCTCTCCTTCGTCTCTCTGGTTCGAAGCTTCACCGCAAAATTAAAACCCTAGGTTGGCGTCATAGTGGAGCATTAAAGAGGAAAGATTGAGGGTTATATTCGGAATTTCAATACATTTTAATATTATATTAACTGGAGTCAATACCTCAAACGGTGAAATGGACGGAACTCACCCCCTTAGTCATTAATGATATATTTTAAGCCCCCAAGAGTATATTTTAAAAAACATGGGACCTGCCAGTCTTTATTGCAAAATAGGGGGTACCTAACAGCAATTTTTTGTTTGATATGTTGCATTTGCTGTTTTCCCTCAAAGACTCCTACTGCCTACTGGTGCTTTTGCTTTACTATTTTCCAAGTAGATAACATCTTTTAATAGATTCGAAGGAGATAACATTCTACATCTTACAGGATATCCTTATTACTACTCCGTAGTAAATTAATCATCTCCAACTGTTACTTCTATCAGTTGAGTTCTTCAATTACTCCAAAGGCATAAGTATAGGGTAAATTTCACAAATGGTACCTGAACTTTAGCTGGAATTTCGAAGTGGTACCTGAACTTCAAATCCTTTCACAAAAATCCCTGAACTTACACAATCCTTTCACTAATGAGCCATTAGCCCGTTTCTAGGTTAACTTCCGGTCATTAGGGCCAAATTCGAATTTTATATATTTTAAAATTTTCAATTTGACCCCAT